AAGTCCTCGCAGCCTTGTTCCGAGAGCGCTCTTTGTGTTATGCAAGTCTGCGCTGAGAAAAGATGGTTAATGTTATTAAAATTTATAGTTATTTTTTTGATATTTATAGTAATTTCTTTTTCCAAGTATGTCCTCTCGTTGGAACAACGAGAAAAGGCCTGTCTCCTTATTCTCGAAAATTTGCGAAAAATATCGTATACGATATTTCATTAATGGGCCAATTTGGTTGGCTGAGAATCATAATATCCACTCATGATGTTTCATGAGTGACACTCATGAAACATCATATGCGACATTTTTCAAGGTTACGGCCCTGTTCCAAAATCGGTATCCCTGGTTTTACTTGTAAGGTTGGTAGCCTTAAACTAACTCAGATACGTTCCGTAGTTGATCAGCTGATCACGCTCACAGCCATGTAGTATTTCTGTTTACGAACTTTGTTTCAGCTACCAATTTTGTTATATTAAATAGAGAAATGGGTAGATTTTTTATCAGCTGATCACGCATCATTATTTTCGCGAAATTATTTCTATTGATACAGCGAGTGTAGGACATAGTTTAAGCGCGCGCGCTGTCTACAAACTAGTTACTAATTTCGTAATATTAAATAGAAAAATAGATGGATGTTTTATTACTTATTATCCTGATTACCGAATCTTCCGATCGTCAAGTCGATCACACGAATCAGCTGATCAGCAATTACGGAATGCATCAAGTTAGTTTAGGCTTACCAATCTTGTAACTAAAATCAGTTCCCTAACCAATTTCGGGACAGGCCTTAAGCTAGTTCAAGGCCTAACAACCTTATCCATAACTAAAACTAAGGCTTTCGAAATCGATTTCGGAACAGACCTGAAGTTGTGATTACTGTGATGTGTTGTTCTCTCATGATTATAATTTCTTCATTATGTAACTACAAATTGCAAACACTTGTTCTCAGTCGATACATTATATCATTCGATATACAAGTCGCAAAATTTTACGCGCGACGATTCCTGACGGATTGCACAGCAATAGTTTTAACGAGTTTCTTAAGCAAATTACTTCAAAGATGTGAGCTGCCGCACGGAGGAAAACATTTGGCCGATCGGACCAATCTTCCGGTGAAATGTGAACGGTTCAGAAACTCCGATCGAAAAGACGAGAATCCTAAAGTTGAAGTTAGCCAAAAATCTTGACAGTTTAGATTGAAAATTGCTGAAATTTCGCCAGAAAATTGCTTCACTCAGCCAAACGTTTCTCTCCGTGCCAACTTCCGTGGCGTCGCAGCTTCCAAAGCATGCCCAGGATAGCGATCGTGTAACTCCTTCGCAAGAACGGAAACGTGAAGAGCGAAAAGTTTCATCTGAACTCGACGATCACGTGTCGACAGAGGGCAAGAGATCGGTGAATTCGGACGCCCTCCTTTCGCTCGAAGGGTAGAGACTTGCTATTCTTATGAGGTAAATTCGCTCTAAAGCGCGTTCGGTTCGTTCATCGTTACGTTCACCTCATCGACCTTTCCTCTCCGGCTAACTTTCCAAACAAAGAGGGAACACCGAACCTCACTTTCCATGTTTCCCTCCCTGCGAAAAGAATTACGTGGCCGCACTCGCATGCCGGCCAACACGATCGTCTGCGGCTAAACCCTCGAATCGCGCCCTCTACGCGAGTCGCTTCCTTGGACTCATTTTCGCGAATCTCCGGCCGACTCGGTCACCTGTGCTCTCACTGCGACCGCCATTGGCGATAAGGAAGTTTCGGTTTCACCGGTTATCTGCAGCGAGGCCGAGAGCGTATTAGTTTTATCGCTAACAAAACACCTCGCGCCGTCCCAGTTAGCCGAAGCTCTCGATCATTCTACTCGGCTTTTTTGCGGAGGATCGGCAGCGAGCGACAAGTCTCTAAGCTGCATTTTTGCCGCTCGCGGTTGGTACACTGGAAAGCAAAACGGTTTTGACAGTTTTTTGTTTTTTACAAACGTTAGTAACTAGTCTAGTTGTAAAATTTGAGAATCATTGCTCGAGAACTTGCGCAAAAGATCGCAAGTCTCTTTAACCCACAGACTTCTATAGTATAACTAGACTGCTAACTCCCTTGTATATTGTAATACAAAATTAACCCCAAAAACTATGTATTAGATGAGGGAATCAAGCATCTGCGCATGCGTGAAATTGGTAGTCCACAAGGAGAAGGGCTACATAAGCGATATGACCGATCCAATTAGAAGAAATGTGTTTTGATTCAACCAATCAGACGTGAATGTCGCACCACCATAACGGTACATATTTTTCGGGGGTCATGTATTGAGTCGAAGTTAGCAGTCTAGTTATACTATAAAAGTCTGCTCTAACCCCAATTATATGTGTCTCTCTAACATAGGCATAGGAATATAGGGACAGAGCATAAGCCCGTAAGATAGGCGAGGGGAATTGTGCTGAAATACGGGGGACGACTGTGCCTAAGTTTCATTGGCTACAATAGTGTGCATATTCAGAGCATGTGATGCACAACGACTTGGCTGTCACTGGCAAATAGTAAATGTAACAAAATGATAAGAACTATTTACATTGACAGTATTTTGCAAAGGTTATGCATGTGTATTTTTTTTCATAATTTCACTCACACACAACTTCATATACATCTATGTACGTATCAAATACTTACACACAGCACAACCACCAATTAGATTTAGGCACAGTTTACCTCGTCGCACCGTCCCGCAATGGTTATTCCCCCGCAACTCTATGCTCTGTTCCTATATTCTTATGTCTATGCTCTTATGTCTATGCTAACCCCAACGATCTTGAGATTGCTCTATGTATTAAGCAGTGGTTCTCAAATTTACAACTACACGGATTACCAATGTCACTAGAAAACAAAACTATCGAAACCGTTTTACTTTCCAGTGTACAGTTACGTAAGCGACCACGCGGTCCACTCGCGACTAACACCCGTATTCATAGTCAGGCCTTATATTTAAGGCTTCCTTAAGTTTATCTTCAGATGGTCTGTAGCCAGTAAAATAATCCGTGCAGCATCTAAAGATGGATATAAGGAGGCCTCAAATATAAGACCTGACTATGAATACGGATATAAGACCCTTAACCCTTCAGCAAGTGCGGGGTGTGAGATGTAAGGAGGAGAAGAAATTGATCAAGAAATTGAATCAACACAGCGGAGAATTTCCGACTCGTCGGAAGTCGAATTTAGTTCACGAGAATAGGAAATTCCGGTTTCTACAAGGGAAACGTGCTTCGTTTCATCACTGTCACGTTGATTCCCTTCCTAATCTTTCGCCTTCATGTGCACATCATTAGTCAATGATAGTTAAGGTTTCCGCGAAGTTTCTTTCTGGCGATTTTAATCTTGAAAATGAACCATGTGGGCGACCTGAGACCAAGGTGGATAATGATGAGCTGAAAGCTGTAGTGGAAGCGAATATAACACATCACTCAATAAGTTCGTAGGATAACATATAAATGGCGCTACTATTGACAAATCCATATGATTTTTAGGAAGTACTAACCTTCAAATGATACGTGTCAAAATTTCATGACAATCGGACGTTTAGTTCACAAGTTACAGTGGTTTTAGTGACGCACGACGTCGACTCGTTTTAGCAAGGCTTCAGTTTCGGCAATCACTTCTTCATTGGAGCCAAATCTCTTTCCCTGGAGCTTTCCCTGCCGATTTGACTCTGGAATGTAGTGATGGATCCATGTTTCATCCATTGTTACATACCGCATCAAAAAATCCTTTTTGTTGCGCTGAAATAGCTCCAAACAGCCCGCTGAATCGTCGACGCGTTGCTAAAACGAGTCGACGTCGTGCGTCACTAAACCACTGTAACTTGTAAACTAAACGTCCGATTGTCATGAAATTTTGACACGTATCATTTGAAGGTTAGTACTTCCTAAAAATCATATGGATTTGTCAATAGTAGCGCCATTTATATGTCATCCTACGAACTTATTGAGTGATGTGTTATTTCAAATTACACTTGAATTAGCAGCAAGATTTAACGTTACTATTCCAACATTATTGGACCATTTGAAATAAATGGGCAAGATAAAGGAGCTGGATAGATGGGTTCCACATGAATTAAACGAGCGCCAGAAGAGAAATCGTCTGGAAGCTTGCCTTCCTTTGCTATCACGACATAAAGGCGGACCATTTTTACATCGTATTGTCGTATATACGTGTGATGAAAAATGGACTTTTTTCGACAATCGCTTGGATTGGAACCCACTTATCCAGCTTCTTTACCTTGCCGATTTGTTTCAAATGCTCCAATATTGTTGGAACAGTAACGTTAAATCTTGCTGCTAATTCACGCGTAGTTTGAAATGATCCACTTCCACTACAGCTTTCAACTCATCATTATCCACTTTGGTCCAGGGTCGCCCACGTGGCTCATTTTCAAGATTAAAATCGCTAGAACGAACTTCTTAAATCATCGACGTACTGTGCGTTCATTAGCCACATATTCACCAACATTTCGTTGATATTTCGAGTTGTCTGCGCTGCATTGGTTTCATGGAACTCATATACGAAAATAACATGAACTTTTGACCTATCCCTGGTTACTCAAAAATTGCTGTAATAAAGACAACTCGAAAGACAATCACGAATCAAAATAGTATGCGTTTGAAAGAGTGATAATGTATCTTCCCAAAAAACTAAAAACTGTAAGAGTGAAATATCAAAGATATCGGCTGTTGACCTTAGTACTTAAGGAAATCAGACATTCATATTTAACGACCTAACCTAACCTAACCTAACCTAATAGTATCAGTTTGTATGAAGCGTATTTCCGGGATAACTTATGGAGGCCATAGCCTACTGTGTGCTGGAGCCCAAAATGAGGTAAAAAACGCAGGCACGTGCCTACTGAAGGGTTAATCGACGCGATCGCGATCGGACGTCGAACCCGCGCGCGCGCGCGCATGTGTGTGTGTGTGTGTGTGTGTGTGTGTGTATGTGTGTACTCATCCATGTTTCTCCGTTGGCTGTTTCAGGCGAGAAACCGTATCAGTGTCAATGGGCGGAATGCGAATGGCGGTTCGCCAGGAGCGACGAATTGACGCGGCACTACCGCAAGCACACCGGAGCTAAGCCCTTTAAATGCGCGGTCTGCGAGCGTTCCTTCGCCAGGAGCGATCACCTCGCGCTGCACATGAAGCGGCACCTCCCGAAGCAGCACACCAAGTGAGGAGAGCGCGAGAGACGGAGAGGAAAGGAAAGAAAGAGAGGAAGGGAGAGAGAGAGAGAGAAAGAGAGAGAGAGAGAGAGAGAGAGAGAGAGAGAGAGGAGGAGCAGCTCTCTTCTCTTGGCGTCCCGTTCGCTCGTTCGCTTTCTCGACTACCTGCGTTGGACGCGCGCCGTTGTTTTCGCCATTCAGGCTTCGAGGTTCACGACGCTTTCAACCGAGTCTGTCAGTTCGGAGAACGCTGAGAAAGTCCGCTAATGGAAATTATATGGAGTAATAATCGCCTTAGAGCGAGAATAATGTCCGACGATTAAATTGTGTTCGGTCGTTTTCTTTTTGTCGAGTGATATGTACGCACGTGCGGGGAATATGAAATTATTGTTGTAAGTCTGTCGAAGCGCGATCTCGAGATAATCTCAGAATGAAAAATATTTTCGACACTTTTCGGAAAAAGAATTGAAAGAGATCTATCTGCTGTGACGGTAATTTTAATCCTCATTCTCCGCAACTGCGGTATGTTTAATAATTCTCATGCTCATCGATTAAACATTTTTAGAAGAATTAATTTTGGAAATAATCTCAATCTCCCCACTTTTTTCTTTTTCTTTTTTTAATTTTGATTTTCATCAATTGGACGCTATTAGATACGAAGATTGAATCTGCGTTTGTCCGCAACGAGTTGGAGAGCAAACGTTCGGAATGATCTTCAGACGATGTTTTGGCGAATTAACCTCAATCTCCTCAGTTTTTCTTTTTTTTTTAATTTTCATCCTCATCGATTGAACATTGTTGGATACGAAAATTGAATCTGCGCTCACGCGCCACGAATTGGAAAGCAAACGTTCGGAATTATCTTCAGACGATGTTTTGGCGAATTAACCTTTATCGATCTTTATTGATCTTTATTGATCTTTATTGGACATTGTTGGATACGAAAATTGAATCTGCGTTTGTCCGCAACGAGTTAGAAAGCAAACGTTCGGAATTATCTTCAGACGATGTTTTAGCGAATTAACCTCAATCTCTCCAGTTTTTCTTCTTTTTTTTTAATTTTGATCATCGATTGGACATCGTTAGATCCAAAAATCTGTGCTTACGCGCCACGAATCGAAAAGCAAACGTTCGAAGTTATCTTCAGTTATCACGACGGTGCTCCGACGAATAGCGCGGGCTTCATGAGAAGCCAAGTACGAATCTGCACTGAAAATTCGCTCCTTGCTGATTTTTCGCCGATTGCGGACTCGCAATCCCGAGTCGTTCTCCCGAGCCGAGCGACTCGATCGCAATCCCGCAATCGGGCTCGCGTTCGTTCTTGCGCTGGATGAAATTCGCGTCGACATCGCCATCGGTGGGATTTCCTTTACGGTTTCGGGCCCGATCGTCGGGCCCGATTTCGCGCGATGTATCGGCGGAGCATCGATCGAGCGAACGCCCGTCTTGACTCGACGGCTTCGGTTACGCTCACCATCTCGGTTAAGCGGTTATGACGAAACACATCCTCGGTGTGGGTGGTGGTCGCGAGGAGATATTTCGTCATAGCGCTGTACACTCACGGACGGTCGCGAGGGAGGAGAGAGGGGGGGAGAGAGAAAGAGAGAGAGAGAGAGAGAGAGATATTACGATCTCCGTTCAATAAGTATCGTTCGTACTTCACACTGAGATGGATCCGAGCCGGCGGGTCGCACGAGGAGAGAAGTGAAGCCAATGTTCGTGGAAGGTAAAAGCGGAGGTGTTCGTTGCTGAGATTCGTACTGGCAGCCTTGCCTTTACCGCGAAACCTTTGCCCCGCGTTTCGAAGCCAGCCACGCCGCGCGAGTACAACGCACGTGTAGCGTCGCGGTAAATCGGCGACTTCGCAATTGAATTCCCTGACATCGCGGGAACACGCGAAAAAGAAAAACGCGGCACCGCGGCTTGCGATCGGAAGATTGCAACATTTCTCCAGTTCTTCCAAAGTTCTTCCTCAGGCTTGGTCCTTCGACAATTCTTCGAGCTTTCCCCATCTCCCATGAGTGTTCGAGCCTTCTCCGGAAAATTTGAGCATTGCAAGGACATCGCAAGGAGTCGCAGCTTCGCGAGGTCTATTCTACATTAAGCCTATTCTACATCCTAGAAATCGCACGATCGTAAGCAAATTGACTAATCACGATCGATTCTCTCCTTATGATCGAGGAATAATCGACTGTGATTGGTCAATTTGTTTGCGACTTTGCGACTTAGACTTAATGTAGAATGGGCTTTAGGACCGGTCCGGAATAAGTTGCAACGCTCAGTTGCGAGTTGCGGATTGGCAAGTTATCAACTGCAAGTTGTAAATCATTGCGACGTCTAATTTACATGTAGATGTCGAGAGTTGCGAGTTGCGAAGAAATAGATATAATATTCGCTCTCTTATTGTCCATTAATTTAATCCATTAATTAATTTTAATTTAAAGATAATTAGCTAGCACAATAGTCAGACAATATTGGCTATTTTTGCCAATTAATTGAACTTTAATCAAAATCATTTCAATGAGATAATAGCGTTGACACAACAAGAAATAAGTAAAATTACTTGATGCCTGCAGCCTTGAGCCTGTGTCGAGGCTATGAATTAAAACTAACCTCAAATTTAAAGATGGTATATAAAAAAGAAATACTTGTTTTATTGAGTAACATAGCCATAATTTTCCAAATATCATCTTTTTTCTCTCTGTTTCTAAAACTTGGTTCAATTTTATTAATTAGGAATTGATTCGTCTTTATGTGTACGATTAGTGATCATATTCCGAATTCATCCGATTCTTCTCCAACTGCTTCGAGCACATCCAATTTGTACTGCTCTTCAGTATCTATTTTTCTTTTACAAATAACAGAATACATATAAATATCTACAAAACTATCAAAAATTACGTTACATTATTTATATCACACAACCTCTATCTGTGGTATCGTGTTTCATTTTTCGCGCTCTTCCTGAACTCGATATTTCATTGGCCGAGATGTTGCGCTTGCTGTCACCAAGAAGTTAAAAGTTGGGCAACTCTCTTTTCGCAACCGCGACTGTCTCTTGCAACCGGAAATAGCACCTTGCAAACTAGTAGTTGCCATCCTCCCAGAGAGAAATGGGAAATCGAATAGACGTCGATTCGACGTCTTTTAGATGTCATCAACGGCTAATCGATGTCGATTCGATGTCTATTCGACTCTTATTTCTTCCTGGGCTTCGCAACTCGCAACTGGATGTTTGTAACTTATTCTGAACTGGCCTTTAGTCTCCGACATTTTTTCATACATTTTGATGGCTAATCACAGACTTCTATATACAAGCTAGACTGAGAACTTCCATTGGTTTTCATGTATAAAAGTGACTCTTGTGTGCGCGCATGCGCATTGCAAAATCCTGTTGGTACTCTATATATTGAATGAACATCGAATGTGAACATTGAATATGTCATTAAACGTAACATTGCAAGAGAAAATGTAAAATATTGGATAAATGTTAACATTTTTTGGAATAAAAATGCCCGTGCGGTCACATTCCTTTCGGGACCTTGCAATGCGCATGCGCGAAACTTTAATACATACTTTTAAGGGACGTGTTGAAGAAATCAGTTATCGGTCCAGTGTGTAATATAAAAGTCTGCGTGGCTAACGTATTCGTTAGAAATGAGTGAGAATTCGCTACGAGAGAAAAGCGACGCGCTGGTCGCGCTTGAAATCGCGTTTCGAAGACGCTCGAAGAAGACCCGAACGAATGTACAAAAAAATCATCCGCACTCTTTCGCCGTTTCCGCAGATTTCGCCCGCGCGCAAGGTTTCCCAGGACTTCTTCGGGACTCATTCATTCGCGTATTCCCCGCGAACGCTCCGATCTGTATCGCCGCGACGTCGAACGCTGCTAAGCAAACGTCCCATTAGTCTTATCCGCACTTTTCTGCAGCGATTCCACCGATCAACAACCGCAAGCGGGGGGAGGCGCGGTTTCGCCTCACTCGACTCGTGTGTACGACCTGTCGTCTCTCGCGGCGCGGTGTCCTCGAATCCCTTCGCGAAATGATTTGCCAGATTAAAGCGCGCCGCGCTATCGCGAAATTATCGCTATCTCCGACGTGTGTGTCGGCCGCGCGACAACTTGGTCGCGCGCACATACACACACACATACACACACACACATATACGCACGCACACACGCGCACAGAGAACCCGAGAGATATCCTGTTTGGCGTGTGTAAACGATCGCGACGTTGGCTGGCACGTCGCTCGTGCTTAAAGTCGAAGCTTAATCCGCGTCTCGCGCCGTGTCATTTCGATAGTCGTCGCGTCGCTAACGCGAATTTCGCCGCGCAGCCGTGAGCCGATATTTGCCGAGCCTCGATAGCGGAGGCAGATAGATAGAGAGCGAGTATCATCACGCTTCGCCGTTATCACGTCCGTGTGAGAAACGGACGATATCGTGTGATGCCTTATGTACAAATTCGCGTAGAGTCTTGAAGGAAAGAGAGACAGAGCGAGAGAGAGAGAGAGAGAGAGAGAGTGCGTGTGTGAGAGATAAGCTGTCGACGGTCGACGTGTGCGCGCGCGCGCGCGTGTGCGAATGCGTTTTGCGAATGTTTGCCGTCCCTCGTCCTGTGCGTGCTATATATGCGAGTATGTATTTATATGCGTATTCTGCACACCGGTAGTCTATGTGTACGTGCTTGTGTATACGTGTAAAAAATAAGAGAGAGAGAGAGAGAGAGAGATAGAGAGAGGGAAGAAGGGAGCGAGCAGAAAAAGGAGCAGCGATTACGATGCGATTCTGATGACGATGTAGCCGCGTGTAGCTAGTGTAATATTATCTGTATATTACGCGGAGCGATGGACCGGGAATGTAATTCGTTCTCACGCGTGCTCTCCGACCGGATCGCCGATCCGTCGCTCGTCGGTCGCCTCGTGCTTTCCCGCGAAAGGCGTAGACACACGCAGTCCATCGCGTCCGCGTGCGCGATTTGCACGAAAACGCAGGCTCGTAGCGGTAGCCAGGGACGGTCTGTACAGAGGAGAGAGAGAGAGAGAGAGAGAGAGAGGAGCTGACGCACCGCGAGCATGTGAAATTTGTATATAAATATACACGTATCTTCCCGACCCCTTACCCTCATCCCCCCCCCCGGTTATCGCACTTAGATTTTTTTAATTGTACATGTAATTAATTGTATTATTATGTCGAAGTTGCTGAGACGCTCCCGTTAAGAACTCGTCGAGCGGCCACGCGAGGAGCGTCGTTTCGCGCTCCCCTCTTTCCCCCCGCCTTCTCCCGCCCTCCGAGGTGTATAATCGACGAATTTTCTCGCGAATCACGTACGACTCCCCATCCTCGCGCGGCGGCGCCGCGTTGCTGGTGTTTCCCGTTAGCGTGATCTGAGGGAACCGTCAACGTTCGAAGGTTCGTGAAAAGTTACCATCCGACCCTGGCGGTAGCGGCGCGCAAAGACGACGACGCGCTAGGAGGAAACGAGAGAGAGAGAGAGAGAGAGAGAGAGAGAAAGAGAGAGAGAGAGAGAGAGAGAGAGAGAGAGAGAGAGAGAGAGGCGTCGGCGAAAAGCGATTTCGCGTATCTCGGACGTTCCGTTACGTTCCGATACGAACACGTACACGCACACACGCGCAAACACATACGTACACACAAAAGACACACACACACACACACACGCACACAGACAAAACACATACACGCATACACACGACATCCCACCTCGTACGGGAGCGCGCGCAGGAGGCCAAAAATTCTCTGTCCGTGTAGAGCCGCTTTGTACACAACGCGCGCGATCGTTGTAATCGATCGATCGAATCGTTATGTAGTTACGTAGTCGAGCGTTTAGACGGAAACGAAGTAACGTGTCTATTTATATCTGCCTATCCGCCTGCCTGTCCGTCTTCTATACCGCATCCTTCCGAAGGAAAGGAGGGATTCCCTCGCTCGTCGTTCAGTCCTTCGCTCTCTTGAGTGTCGCGTTCTCGCGCGACGCATGTCATCCTTTCCCTCTTCCTTCTTCTTCCTCTTCTTCTTCTTCTTCTTCTTCCTCTTCTTCTTTTTTCCTTTTCTTCTTACACACCTTGCTGCCCAGTTTACCTCATTCCCGATTAAAGCCACTCTCTGCATCTCCCTCTCCCTCCTCCCCGCCTCTCATCGCCATCGTCATCATCATCACATCCTCGACTTCGTCTTCTCTGTCTTCCACTTCTTTCACTCTTCCTCCCTCTTCCTCCCTCTCTCTCTCTCTCTCTCTCTCTCTCTCTCTTCTCTCTCTCTCTCTCTCTCTCTCTCTCTCTCTCGTGTTTCTTTCGACTCCCCCACCTTCCCGACGACAGCGATTTTCCGCTCTAGCTTGCCCGAAACCTCTTGGGTTGACCTTACGATTACTTATTCTTAATGCGAAATATACCTCATTTGCAAATATGCAGAACAATAGAGTCGAGAGCGCGATCTCTAAAGCGCGTAAATCAAATTCGTACGCACCTCCTACTTCTTCGACTTCCTACAGTCTGTCCATAATGTTTACGAGACGCTGTAATCTGTGTGTTGTGTAATTTAAATATACAATGGTATATATGTACATTCTCTCTGTGTGTCATCCCGCATTCCTCTCGCTTGTATCATAGACGAAGCAATAACACGGAGCTGCGATCGTTTGTCCAACTATACGTGTCAATGGTATTTGTTTAGACGGGCTAGGAATTTTTGGTTGAGCAATCGAACTCTGTCGATGATACGAAACTTTGCGAGATTCATATGAATGAAATCCTACTTTTATTTTTTAACTCTGCGACTTTTCTTCTCTCTTGCGCCTTTGCTCCTTTATTACTTGCCAGAGGGCAGTAGCAATTTGAATCTCACCGCCATCTTTGACGCGAGTAGGAAATCCTAACAATCTTGATAACTGGTGATCTATCAACAGTCGGTGAAAACGTTCTCCATGTTCCCACGTCGTAAAATTAGTCTTAGGTTCAGTTATACCAATATTACTTTAGTTTTAAGTGAGACTTAAATATATCTCTGTCTTTATTTATTTAGTAAGAAAGATAAAGATAGACTTATGTTTAAGTCTCACTTAAAACCAAAATAATGTTGGTGCAACTGGGCCTTAAACTTTAATGTAAATACATGTAAAAGTGAATCAAAATAACGTTAGTTGGTAAAATCTCCCTTATATTTAAGTATTATTTTCGTCTCTTTTGTTTCTATTTTCTGATTACGTTTCCGACAAGACGAATTTATTAGAAAAATCATAACCTCTAAATAGGTTTGTTACTTTCAGCTGAATTTGGTTGGGCAAAAGATACAACGTAGTTTAGTTAAAAATTTCTTAGTTACTTTTATGCAATCTAACGTGGAAGGGAATAAAAAATAAAAAATATAGCATAAATTCAGCTGAAACGAATAGGCTTAATATACCGACGTATGATACACTTCTTGGCTTGTTTGATGTGCGCATGCGCGACAAGGGGATCGTCTAACAATGGCTGCGTTCAGCAAAACAAAGTGATCAGTGAGCGCTTAGTGGAGGTCTCGCTCCTGATTGGTAAATACTTCTAGGTCTATGAAGAATCTAAAAGAATGCTCCAATCACAGACAATAATCACTAAGCGCTCACTGATCATTGGGTGCATTCAGTACTACAACCGCTCACTGAGTGCTAAGTGAGCTCTTGCATCTAATTGGTATATACCTTTAGATTTAAAAATATACACCAATCAGAAGCAAGAGCTCACTTAAGCTAAGACTCCATGCATGCGGTGAGCTGCGGCAAATGCTGCGATGACCAATCAGGAGGAAGGCGCAAGTCCGGTTGCGGCAAGCTCCGGCATGCGTCTGTCTCCTGATTGGTCACCGCAGCCGTTTACCGGAGCTCACCGCATGCACGGAGTCTTAGCTTTAGCGTTCAGTGGGCGGTTGTAGTACTGAATGCACTCATTTTGTTCTGAACGCAGCTAGTGATGTTAGATGCAATATATTGCGATGCTACAGCGCATGCGTGAGATGATGTAGGAACTCGCTGCTTGAGTAAAAGCCCCAGTATCGTATCTTTTTTATTAGATATTATTATAGCGCCCGTATTATACTATATATTGAGAATTGTAATCGAGTAAATTAGATAATCTAAATCGTGGTTATTTTAATTGGTCCGATAGTAATTCTCAATCTATAGTCTAATATGAGTCTAATACAAATATTATGTAACAGTTACATAGTTGAGTGAAAAATTATAATGTTAATGTAACGTAACTGTTACTTAGTATCCACTGGAATTATAATGTTAATGTAACTGATATTTAGTATCCACTGAACAATATAACCTAAGATAAGGCACTTGCGCAAGAAACATGGGAAAACTACGCTGCAACCTGGAAGACAGCAGTACCGCGATTCTGTAACTCGTTATTGGAGTTAACGACACTTTCGTTATCGTTGCGCAGCTTTTGTATACCGTAGAAAAGCTGCGCAACAATAACGAAACTGTCGTTAACTCCAATAACAAGTTACAGAATCGCACCACTGATCGGATAGCGCGGGCCCCTTCATGGATCCTACGATACGCTTTATTGCCGTCATTGGTATAGAGCACGTCATCTCACGCATGCGTTGTAGCGTCGCAATATATTGCATCTGACATCACTGAATGCAGCCAATAGCCACGTGAGTGAGAAGGGAGACTTTTGCATTTACAACAGCAAGCTGAGATGCGACGAACAGCTGAACAAAAAGGTTATAGAAGCTAAAGGTATACGGAGGCACGTGGAATTAAACAAAAGAATTAAATAATATCTCGCCGAATACAATTGAGTGAGAATGTTGCAACAGAATTTGAATACTTAGTATTTGCAACACGTTTCACGTGTTTAATTAAATAATTTAATTAAACTCAACGGACTTGTGAATTTTATATCCTGTCGTATTGGACAGATCTTAAATATTCTGTGTAATTCAGGAAAAAATCTAAAAAATGGCGGAATTTGTGGCAAAGCGTTGCGAGGATATGATCCCCCAGCTGGAGCAAATGGAAAGGATCAAACTCTTTGATAAAAATGAGATTCGGTAAGTTGATGCAATTAATAGGCATGTAGATTTATACTTAACATTGCATGAATCAAATGTCTGATATCTCAGGACTATTGCCAAGAAGCTAAAGGAATTTGAGTACAAAATTGAACGTCATACGAAATACAAAAAGGACTTTGAAGAATACATACACTATCAAATGAAACTCTTGGCATTGATCAAACAGCGAAGGCATGTGAGTAACATGAGTCTTTTGACACTAAAGATTATGTTCAAGAAAATTATGAAACAATAATCATAAGCAGTGATATTGATGTATGCACTTTTCAGAAATATGGCATCCTCAAAAAGAAGTCAGATATTGATTTTGCTATAGCAAATAAAATTAGTAACTTATATAAAAGCGCAATATTTAAATTTCAAGATATTACACTATGGACTGATTATTTAAAATTTTGCAAAGATGTAGTAAGTAACTAGAATCGATTTCTCTACTAATTTACTGTGTTTACATATTATAACTTAAATTCCTTAGCATTTCCGCAGCAACATCAGCCGTACATTAGGCAAAATGTTAAAAATTCATGAGGATAATCCAAAATGCTGGCACATAGCATCACGTTGGGAGCTAGAGGAGAATAACGACAAAGATAATGCTCGGCAGATGCTCCTCAATGGATTACGCATACATCCAAATTCACAGTTGTTATACATGGATGCTTTTAGGTAATAGTTATTTGTTGTAGTAATCTCCCACAGCTTTTTGATAACATTGTCTAATTATATCTGTTACTTTCATACAGACTTGAGTTAGATGATTATGTATCTGTCTCTAAAGACACTGAAAATACTGAAAATCAGGAAGACAATTTATCGATATCTGAAGAAAACGAGATGCCATTGTCATCAAAAAAAGCATATGTGATATATCAGCAAGCTTCTGAATATATTCACGACATCAAATTCATAATTAAATTGCTCACAGTTACTGAAGAACATGACAACACAGAAGAATTGCAGATGAAAATTGTCAGGTATAAATATAGTGATGTTATAGAGACATCACAAATATTTTTCTTTTGTAAATGAAATGAATTTTGTTTTTAAGAATTGAACGTCTTAATTTATTATAGTGACATGCTTCGAGATTACACTCTCGAACCTTTAATGTGGAACAAGGTAGCACATCGTCAATTGGAAGGTCTGATACAGCTTGACATTCTTGACCCTCCGATTGAACTGAACAATTCTGAGCAGATCTCACTGAAGGATCGCATTACTATTTGCAACGATGTCTATCAAGTGGCCTTGAAACATGTTCCTACTGAGGAAATGTGGTCGCTTTACATAGAATGCTTACTAGATATCAACAAAGATCAGGAATCATTACCTAATTTCAAGAAGAAGCTTTTAAAGGCTGTTCTGACGCAGGCTCATCAAGCAAAGAAGCTGAAGGATAAATATTATTCATACTGGGTTTGTATTAATTTCTTGTCTAACTACTGCACACTCTCAATATACTTTCTTAATGCAACGTATATGAGAAATAATTATTTCATTTTGCTATAGATTAATATGCTAGGCGCCAAAGCAATGGATGAAGACATGCAGCAGAGGCTACGTCAATTTCTATGTGAAGCGACCGACACCATGCCGAACAGTGTGATTCTTTGGCACACGCGACTAAAATACTTGTTGCTTTCAGGCTACGAGAAAGAAGCGGTTGCGATATATCCAAAGGTGAGCAATTTATGATTATCTTTTATCGTTATTTAAATAATAATATATAAATAAATATTATCTTCATCTGCATCTTGATGTGGAAAAAGTGTCTTCATAAAATTATCTAAGATGACGCTCACAGATAATTTATTCTATATTGCTACGTATATGTAAAATATTAAAATATTTGTTTTTGCAAGATATTTGCATTAGCACTGCTTGTATCAGATTGAGAGTGAGATTGCATTTTGGGATTCATTTATATTCAGAACAGAGTCCTAAGAGGAATTTATATATTTCATCTTATTACCGCAAGCTAATTTTCAAGTTATCTAAACATAACACTTTACAATATTAGTAATTCCATATAAGAGACTATCGATTGTTATAGATGACAAAAATATTGGGGGAGAAAGCACTGCCCCTGTGGAAAATGCGGATTCTACATGAGCAAAGAAAAAACTCGGAGACGACAAATGAGGCGTTCCAAGCCGCTTTACAAGCTCACCCGCTTATCGCCAAGGATATAAAGCCTGATTACATCGAGTGGCTCGCCGCAACGAAAGGTATCTACTTGATATTTATATACAGAAAGAACTATTCTGTTGAGATACAAATAGATATACGTATATATCTCGATCTAACGGATGCATCTTTTCCTCCAGGCATCCATGCGGCTCGCACGGCGTATAACGACCTATGCCTGCAACCGCCTTTTTCACTGGAGTGCCATAAAAAAATGGTGTCGCTTGAAGTTATGCAGCCCGATATCTCACTGAAGCACGCGCGGCGACCTCACGAGTTGGCGACGCACCTGTTCGGCAAGAACGACAAGTCCGTCTGGATGGATTACATGAAATTCGAGTTTAAGCACGGCGACCCGTTGAAAGCTGGTCACATACATAATAGGGCAGTGAAGACTCTGGATAATAGTCTGGTAGCTTCTTTTATCGAAGATTTTGTTCTAATGAAAATGGAAGGCCAATTTGCGAAGAATTCGCGCATTATGGACGCTTTGACTGAGCTCTCAGACAAGGTGTGAGCTGTCTATATTTTATACGAACGTTTATACGGACGAAGAAAAATCATTGCACATATTAGTTTAAGGTATTAGTAATAAATCAAGAAGAATACTTGTTGGTTAGTCGTAATTAATGAAATTGTGTACGCGAAAAAAACTTCATCCAATAAATTTTATCAAGAAGTTTTTGTGAGAATTGACTAATTGATATTTAATAACTTATAGTTTGTACATATAAAAAATCGTCTACATGGCCCTTGCGCGCCCTTGCAGGATAATTTTAAATTTGGTGGGAAAGATAAATTTTCCTCCTCTGTGCACGCGCATTTGTGCGTTTAGTGGAGATTATTTACGACTGCGTATGCGCAAGGAAGAATCTTCCCTATTTAAAGCCAACGGCACACGGTGCTTGTTTTCGTGCTGAATTGCTTGCTGGATGAAAATACTACGTTCTGATTGGTGCATTTCCATCCATCTTCAGAAATGTACCAATCAGAACGCAGTATTTTCATTCAGCATGCAATCCAGCACGAAAACAAGCACCGTGTGTCGCTGGCTTTACTTATTATGATCAAGTTAAACAATTTATCTATTATATTTAATATATCTATGAACAGAATATACTTTTTCTTAAAAAATAAAAATATATATATATACTTTATAAATATCATCATATAAATCCTATGGCTACATTCCGACTGCTAGTACTTCAATTACTTAGCTTTTGTATTTGATTGGCATATTCTTTCAGATTTTGTGGTCTACGCCAATCAGATTCAAGAGCTCAGTTATCAATGCAGTACTGAATGCACACAATGGCCGCGTTCAATAGAACAAAGTGATCAGAGAGCGCTTAGTGATTATTGTCTGTGATTGGAGCATTCTTTTAGATTCTTCATAGACCCAAAAATATTTACCAATCAGGAGCGAGATTCAGTGGTAAATCTAGTAATGTTGTCCAACTGTTGAGTCTGCCATTGGCCGCGTTCAGCAGACTCAACGGTTGGACAACATTACTAGATTTTCCACTGAATCTCGCTCCTGATTGGTAAATATTTCTGGGTCTATGAAGAATCTAAAAGAATGCTCCAATCATAGACAATAATCACTAAGCACTCTCTGCTGATCACTTTGTTCTACTGAACGTGGCCATTGCAACGCGCCGAATTACTCAACAGTTGCGCAACTGTTGAGTGTCGTGAACGCACCCATCGCACCCATCTCATTCTGTGTCACGTGACATATTTTAATTCGATCACGCCCGAGATAGAGATAGGCGGCGCTGAAAATCGTCGTTTTTTCTCCGAGAGGGGAGAGTTTGGCTCTCCTTCTTGAGTTACTTAAAGTGTATACAAATTTGACCGTAAACTTGTGAATTTTATACTTTTTCTTATTAAAATCATTCTAAATATTTTGTATAGCTCACTGAAAAGCTTGAAGAATGGCAGAATTTGCGGAGAAGCGTTGCGAGGATATGATTCCCGAGCTGGAACAGATGGAAAGGATCAAACTCTTCGATAAAAATGAGATTCGGTAAGCCAAAACAAATGGTGCACGGATAAATTTACATTGTCATCATATTAATCAAGCGTTGAATATTCCAGGGCTATTGCCAAGAAACTGAAGGAGTTTGAGTACAAAATTCAGCGTCACACAAAGTGTAAAGAGGACTATGTAGAATATATACATTATGAAATGGATCTCCTGAAATTGATTAAACAGCGAAGGGATGTAAGTAATTTGTGTACCTAGGCGGTAAAAAATATTAAAAGAAAATTACGAAATAACGATTATATATACCGTAACGTTTATACATACACATACCTACTCACACATATATATATATATATAAAATTTGATTTTCAGAAATATGGCATCACTCAAAAGAAGTCAGACATTGATTTTGCTATAGCAAACAAAATGAATAATTTATACAAAGATGCAATATTCAAATTTCAAGATATCAGATTTTGGATTGCCTATATAAAATTTTGCAAACATGTAGTAAGTAACAAGACAGATAGACTTCTGCTGTTATACTGTGTTCACACAAAATAATGTAAGTCTTTTAGCATTTTCACAGCAACATCAGTCATATGATAGGCAGAATGCTGCAAGTGCACAGAGACGAACCAAAATGCTGGCAAGTAGCAGCATGTTGGGAGCTAGAGGAGAATAACAACAAACAGAATGCTCGGCAATTTCTTCTCAGAGGATTACATATCCATCCGGATTCACAATTGTTGTACATTGAAGCTTTTAGGTAATAGCAAGAATATCTCTTTTGACAATCTATTTTGCAACCTAAATATTATTGTCTGCATTGATTTGTTTCATGTAGACTCGAACTGAATGACCATATATCTGTGTCTAACAATGCCGAAAATGCTGAGAATCAAGAGGACAATTCAGCATCGACGGTTGATGACAATGAGATGCCATTGGCATTGAAGAGAGCATATGTGATATATCAGCAGGCTGTTGAGCGTGTTAATGACATAAAATTCATAATTGAGCTACTCAAAATCACTGAAAAATATAACAACACAGAGAAATTGCAGAAGAAAATTATTAGGTATAAAACTACTGTTATAAATATCGTGTATTTCCTTTTCATTAGCATTAGAACTACCGATAATTAATACAATCTATTTCTTCCTGCCAAAGTGATAAGTTTTTGGAAAAAAGGGTATATTTATTTTTGCGACATAATATTCATTAAAAATGTAAAATATATCTTTATATAAGTTTGAGTAATTTTCTTTTACAAGGAACTACAGATTATTTTCGATTATTTGATAGTTTTGGTGTTAACAAAGCAAACTTAAGTATCTAAAGTGTATCTTGATTTATAATAATAGCGATATGATTCGAGAGTACGCTCACGAAGCTTTGATGTGGGACAAGATGGCTGATCGTGAGTTGCAAGGTCTAGTGCAGCCAGGTCTTACCGACACGCCGATGGAGCTGGACAATACCGAGCAAGCCTCGCTGAGGGATCGTATCACCTCTTGCAACAAGGTTTATCAAACGGCCGTGAAGAAAATTAAGACTGAGGAGATGTGGTCACTCTATATAAAACGCTTACTGGACATCAATAAAGATCTGCAATCGTTGCCTAATTTCAAAAGAAAACTGCTGAGGACCGCCTTGGCGCAAGCTCACCAGGCGAAGAAACTGAAGGAAGAATATTATTCAGATTGGGTTTGTAATTCAATATCGTACAATTATTGTTCACTTTCGCGTGCGACTAAGGATGAGAAATAACCGATTTACCTCACAGATTAAAATGTTGAGCGCCGAAACAGGAGACGAGAACGCGCAGAAAAGACTGAATCAAGTTCTGTGTGGAGCGACTGACGCCGTGCCGAATAGCGTGAATCTTTGGCAAGAGCGGATGAGACATTTGTTGCTTTCGGGACAGGAACAAGAAGCGGCTGCGATATATCCGAAGGTGAACAGATTACGACATTGATTAATGCCCGTTTAGCGGTCCGTTTAGGTAATCACTTATGGATTGGTACAGGCGACAGAAATATTGGGTGAGAAAGCGCTGCCTCTATGGAGAATGCGGATTCTGCACGTGCAAACGAAAAACTCGGAGAAGACGGAAGAGGCATTCCAAGCCGCTTTGCACGCGCATCCGCTCATCGCCAGGGATATAAAGCCCACTTACATCGAGTGGCTCGTCTTAACAAAAAGTAACGCAATTAATTATGTATATACGAGATGAATAGGCCAATTAGTGACTGAATAACCTTAACATAAATTAATAAATTACTAATATATGTGTTAAGCCAAGTGTGAACACAATAATAAGTACAAATTATTAATTGCACATAATACTAAGTACAGATATATTGATATATATGTCAAGTGTTACAAGATGGATTTTTGTTGGAAAGCTTGAACGTCTTCGGTTTTAATTGTGTCATATTTTTCTAATTTATGGGAAAATTTTAACTTGTGATTCTAATATTTCGTCAGAAATGGCTGGAGTGCCATTTGCTGATGTGAATATTTAGTTTTGTTTATCTATTAAAAATTTAGTTTTGGGAAAGTTAAAGAGAATGACGTCTAACAAAGAGACGTTTCATATTAACTTCTAAAACGAGTTGGACTGTGGAAATTATTGTCAGCAATATGCTTGTAATTATAATGTTTCAGCAATTTTCGTAGCTCTTAATTTTACCCGAAGCTTGCCAAATTATTGTTAACGGATAATATATAAAATTTAGAGCAAGAACACATATTTAGGATAAATATGGTAAATCAGCTGATTTATTGAGAAAAATTAAAAACATTTGTTACAAATTTGGACATTGTCGTTAATTGAGACACTCACCTTACTGCACATCTTTTTCAATTCATCTTCGTTTTGCGATGTTAGAGATTGCAAATGTTACATTACATATTAATATAGCATGTACGTGTTTCAATCGAACATATTAATTTTATCCTAGGCATCCGCGCGGCTCGCAAGGCATACGACGGCTTGTGCCTGCAGCCGCCCTTCTCGTTGAAGTTCCACAAAAAAATGGCGTCGCTCGAGCTCATGCAGCCCGACGTGTCGCTGAAGTACGCGCGGCGGCCTCACGAGCTGGCGACGCACCAGTTCGGCAGTAACGACACGTCCGTCTGGATAGACTACATCAAGTTCGAGATGAAATACGGCGACCCGAAGAAAGTCGGCGAGATACACGCGAGGGCGGTGAAGAACCTCGAACGCAGTTTGACGTACTCTTTCATCGCGGATTACGCTCAAATCACGACCAACCCCGACTCTGTGAAATGAACAGCTGATCTTGAAGTCGCACGCGGTGTGCGACACCGTACGACCGCACCGTACAGCATATCGTACCGAAGACGGAAACTAACTAAAGCTGTACGTCGGTCTTGACGTTTACGAGATGTGCGACGTGTCGAGACGAAACGAAACGAAGTGAATGATGGGTTGCATGTAGAAAATCAAAACTCAGGGCGATCCTTGTGATCCTTGTAATATCTGCCATGCTGGATGACGCGACACCACGCGCTGAATTTAGGATTCCAGCGGGATCTCCTCCTCCATGCGCGTTAACACAATGTTACGGTCGGTCTCGCCCGGCAAGCGCGCTCTGTCGCCAGTCTTCAGTATTGCTCGTGAGTCTAAGCACATGACATCGACGTTGAGGGAGTGCTGCTTGTCATCCAGGTCGTGCTCGATCCGCGTCAGCAAGGACTCCAAGCCGTTGTAGCTCGCTCTGGAAGCGGAGAACGAAATCGCCCGTCAAGTTCGCCAAGTTGAGAAGCATTAGACGTGCCACTGAGAGTGGCGGATGAACGCAGAATGCGACGAATGGACGGTCATTGTAACGTTATTACGTACTTTGCACTCTCGATGGCTCCGGTCAAATCTTTCTCGGTCTGTTTCAATTGCAGAACCTCACCCCACAGACCCGTCTCAACCTCGTCCTTGCAGAGCTCGTAGCCGGGCCGGTGAGTGCGATTTTCCAAACGCGTCTGTGCGCACTTCATCACGTCCATTTTGCTCACTAACGCTCCCTCCAACCGAGTTATCTCCTTCTTCAACGTCTCCATCTCCTCCCACACCTAGCCAGGTCGAGGGACTATATAGGTGAGGACGAATCTCTTTTCTGTTGTATATTTAACGCTAGTTCTCTAATTATATAGTTTTATTTATATTTTAATATGTTGTGCTTTGTCGCCTCTCATCGCATCTATCGAAATAAAAGCGAAAATACGACCGATATAGCGCGAGACCTTGAGCTTCTGCCAGTCCAACTCGTTCCTGGCCTTCTGCGTCTGATAGATCCTCTTTCTCAGGGTGTAATCCGTCGCATCTTGTTGAGCCCGGACATCGTTCCACGCGTGTTCTCGCATCACGCGCGTAGCCTCGCGGAAGCTGTACGAGTCGCTCAGCTTGTCGTCGATCAACATCTGGACGCGGTGGCACCGCTCTAACCAAGTCGCGTAAGTGATTGGCCTGTCGAGAGGAAATAAGTCAGAACTGTTGCGACTTGACAACATGCTTGCGGAACGGAACCCTCGACTTTACCGCGTTTTCTCGCTGATCGGCAACGTCGGCTTGTAACTTATGTTGGCGCAAGTGCGGTCCAGCACGAGGTTCTCTTTGTCGATCTTGATGGTCTCATTCTTATCTTCTATGTCCATGTCCAAGTCGAACTTGATGCTGTCCAAGGTGTTCAGCTTCTCCCGCGCGGTCTGCACCCTGGAATGTCAAGAGAGCTTGGGATTTGTTTCTCTTTCTTTCTTATCGGCACGTCTGCCGCTCTCTTGTGACTCTCATCACCTCTTGGTCAACGCGTCCTGAATATCCGCGATCAAGCAAAGTTCCTTCTTCAGCTGGATGTCGGTCTCGTCGTACGTGAGCTCGGTTCTCTTACGACGGTCCCTCGTTGAGATACATTCGCTGACCACTTGCAGAAGATGGATCATAGTCTCTATCTCCCTCTCCGTATTGCTCTTCTCGTCGCTCAGCAAACGTATTTCGAGGAGCAACTGTTGCATCAAATCCTCAAGGTCGTTCCTCCATCTCGACAGTTCCGTGACTCTGCAAAAACGAACAAAAATTAATGATAAATATTCAGGTAATTCGCGCTTCACAATGCCTTTTCACACGACTTGTTCATCGAATTTATATCGAATTGTTGATATACAGGGTGTCTGACGCAAATCGTACCGATGCTCATGAATGTGGGACTCGCCAAGCTGAGCAACAGTTCGTCAATCATCGATAAAAAGTCAAAGTTTGATGTGTTTTGCATGCATATTGGAGGGAAGATAGTTGAAAAAGTGATATCCAGTAGAAGAAGATAGTTGAGAAAGTGATATCCAGTAGAAGAAGATAGTCGAAAAAATGATATTCAGTAGAAGCACGTTCAAGTGAGGTATTCACATTGGTTGTCGTAAAATGTGACTTAAAATTGTCACGTTTTCCTCCAAAGGCTTCATAAGCTGTTGTAAACAGAACAAGATGGTTGCGTGCACCGCAACCAGTCGCTTACCTTTTAATCGAAAGAAGTTTGTTTACATTTTTTTCTTTTACAGTACGGTTATTATGGCTGCGTTCCGATATTCACTGCCAGTACTGAAAATACATATAGTTTGTGTCACGAATACTATAAATTTTCAATGCTGGCAGTGAATATCGGAACGCAACTTATATTGCCGGCAAAGATATTTTATTTGTCGCTGAAATCTTTCACTTTACAACGTCAATGAGTCTACTATATAAGGTATCCGCCAAAGACCAGGACAAAACCTATGTTATATGTCAGGAAGGTCGAGTGAAGAAAGTTCGTGTAAACTGGAATTTGTATTCGGAAATGCTTAATTAAAAAGTTATGAATGAGAGATTCACAAGCAGAATTATTTCCTCTCGATTTGTATATTTGAATTTTGTCACTTGCTACAATAGTAAATGTTCGGGAAATCTTCCTTTTGCGAGAATACAGACTTCCACTCGTCAAACTGATGACTGCCCAGTTCTTTTGAATATCCCTACTCTGTATCAGAAATAGCAAGTTTTGAATACGCTCTCCTCTCCCAAAACTGATCTGTTTCTATCAGATCCTCATAAACCGACGAGGCCCCATAAACAAAAGTCAGAAAACATGAAATCTGATCAGGAATAATACTACTTTATAAATCCTTGGATATTTATACTTGGATATTACTTGGATATTACTACTTTATAAATCCTTGGATAACTTTTTAATAAAGCATTCGCGGACATAAATTTATGCGAACTTTTTTCATCTATTCGATCTTTGTGCAAGTTTGACCCCGATCTTCGCGTACACCCTGTACAGGGTGTTCCATTTTAATATCCCACCCCAAATAACTTTTCAGTATTGAAGTTTCAAGGAAAATGATCTGGATAAAAGTTGTAGGGATTTAAGTGAGCTACCTTATGATGACTTTGACTTTGACCTCTACTTTCAAGGTCATTTAAAGGTCAACTTGCGTTTTTTAAATAGGAACTCTTATTTTTTATTACATTGTTTTTTTCTACTAGGTAATTTGAACAACTTTTGTCTAAAACATTTTTTTATTTGTCTAATATTTTTTGACATATTTGAGGAAAATTTGATAACTTTTTCAATATTTCACTTACGATATCTCGTCAACTATTTGTCGGAAGAAAAAGTGGTACTAGACTTTCTTGCTTTATTTAGTCTCAAGAATATATTGTTACAATAGCGCCTTGACTTTTGTTAATTTATTGATTTTTGGAAATTTCAAAATCATCTTAGTAAAGCAAGAAAGTCTAGTACCACTTTTTCTTCCGACAAATAGTTGACGAGATATCGTAAATCAAATATTGAAAAAGTTATCAAGTTTTCCTCAAATATCTGAAAAAATATTAGACAAATAAAAAAATGTTTTAGACAAAAGTTGTTCAAATTACCTAGTAGAAAAAAACAATGTAATAAAAAATAAGGGTTCCCATTTAAAAAACGCAAACTGACTTTCAACTGACTTGAAAATAGAGGTCAAGATCAAAGTTAAGGACATCATAAGGTAACTCACTTAAATCCCTACAACTTTTATCCAGATCATTTTCCTTGAAACTTCAATACTGAAGAGTTATTTGGGGTGGGACATTAAAATAGAACACCCTGTATATTGAGGATGAAGACTGCACAGATTAACAAAGGTTACAAGCTTTTGTACGCAAGATTTATATACAAAAGTATAAACTATGTGAAAATCTTTGTTGATTCCTACAGTCGCCATTTTCAATGCACAGTAGACCCATGAATTAAATAACACGGAAGATTTCAGCAACAATAAAATATTTTCAACGTGCTAATGTTATATACACAGGGTTGGGTAAGTTAATATATAAGGTGTCCAGGATCTTTTGGAAGCGAAAAATTGTGAAGATTAATCAGATCAAACTGAGAGGAAAAATCAAGTGCCATTTTGGTATTTTTAAAAAATCGCAATAGTTATTAAATTATTAAGTTATTAATGAATGAAAATGATCACATCTAGAGTCTCTTTTAATTGATAACTTGAAAATTTGCGTACTTATGCGTAAAATAGTAAAAGACTTTTTTGTTCAGAATGACCTAATCTATAACTTTTATACAGCACAGAAGTTTTAGCAATATTGCTGCAACATTGCAATATTGTCGCAACGTTTTTTCAACTTTGTGTGCTGTATGGGTTACATGACACGGCTATTGCATCTAGTGACAGGTTCAAGATTCCAGGTTCAAAGTTCAATATACTTATATCTATTGCTAGATCTTTATAGTTATCTCTATTGCTAGATATTTATAGTTTGATCTGATTAATCTTCACAATTTTTCGTTTCTAAAAGATCCCGGATACCCTGTATATATATTTTTTAATTAAATTAAGTTTCAAAATGAAGAACCTGATGAAGTTAATTATAGCTGTGTTCCTCCAAGAAGAGAACAAGTTAAGCATAAAAAAACAGCTGTGTGCGTGCGTGCGTGCGTGCGTGTGTGTGTGTGGGTGTGTGTGTGTGCGCGCGTGTATGTGTGTGTGTGTGTGTGTGTGTGTGTGTGTGTGTGATAACATTTCCGTCTTCTCTTCTTTCATTATACTATCTGAAGTGATAACGCTCACCTGTCCGCCAGTCGATCGTTATTTATGTCAGTATCCCATTTAGTCCTTGCGGCCGTTTCGAGACGCACGGATCTGCTCGAGTCGCGTAGCTGACAGGCCTCGGATCTCTGCACGCCCGAGGATTGTCGAAGCTGCCATTGTTTGGCGTGCCAGTCGGGTAGACTGATGTGAGGTGAAGGTTTCTCGTAGATACTCGCGAATTTGGCCATGCTGACGAGAGTTCACGTGACGAGGAGGGAAGAGAATTAAGGAAGTCGACAGGAAGAATTAGACGAGAAGAAGACAGGAGGAATTGATGGAAAAGAAAGAAGAAGAAGAAGAAGAAGCGATATACCCCAGGCGAATTTCAATCGCGGCCACGACGTTGCCAGGACAACGAGCAACAGCAGGATGCGTGCATAATTGACCGACCCTGTAAGTGTCGGTCAAGGTCTAGCGAAGTTCTTCGTGGAAGACTTGGAAGAAACGTACGATCCCAAGCTGTTCGAAAGAACCCCCATTCGCAGGTAGACGCGAAATACGAGCGCAAATCAGTGCTGCGACCGCTCACCGAGCTTTCGCGCGCACCTGATTGGCGCGCATTTGAACATCTAAAGGAACGCGCCAGTCAAACGCGAGAGCTCACTGGACGCTCGGCGAGCCGTCGCGTCTAATTGGCGTGCGCGTTTGAAAATCTACAAGATTACGCCAATTGAATACAAAAGCTCGTCGAGAGCAATTTAGCGCACTGAATGCACGCATTGATTAACGCGAATTACGGCGACGCGATCGCGCGCCGTCTTGTCGTCGGCGGTCTCAAGGGAGGAGACAAAAAGGGGAGATAAGAGGTTAGTTTGTTTATATCGGCATTATCGGAACATCGTAATCCGCGTGACGAGTCGCGTGCGTCATCGACGGTTAAAACGTTGACTAACACGAATCGCGTTCCGGAAGTCGGACAACGACCGTCGTATCGCCGGGGTTAAATTAAAAAATTATCCGACCGGCGCGCCTGTTTTTTTTTTTTAGTTTAATATCGGATGACGGCCGTCTCTGCCGCAGGTCGCAAGCGCACCTTCAAACGCGGCCGAATCGAGCACTCAACGTCGACTTGACGCTGACAGTACGTTCAAACTGTTCGTTACTTCCGGTACATCCGCTATTAAGATGGCCGTCCAGTGCTAACGATCGCGATAACGTTACAGCATCGTTTTGCCCGATCGTGCGTGCGCGGGTATTAGTCGTCGTTGATCGCGGAAAATCGAGAGGCGTGTTTCCCCGTTTCGGAGGGAAAGCGATCTCGCGCCGAGTCCGCGGCTCGAACGTACGATTTTTCGCGCAGGTTCGTCGACTCCCACTGGGAAATTTCTCTCTCTCTCTCTCTCTCGGCGTGCTACCAACGCCATCTAAAAAATTTTAGCTCCGCGATAAAAGTCGTGAGGAACAACAGCGAGGTAAAAAGTCGATGAAATAATCAATCGAAATGTGCGCACGTCGCTAATTCGCCCGCCGCCGAGCGTCAGCGAGGCCCGATTCCGATCGATCAGAGTCGACGCCGCCGGCCAGCAGCCCGCCATCGGCTGACGCTGAGTCAGTTCGCCGATATCTCCGTCGAAGGTGAAAACTTTTAGGTGGCGCTAACGACCGCTGGACAAATTTCAATGTAAGAATTTCGACGGAGGCCGAAGTTTAAGTGATCGAAGACCCTGTGGACGGCATATTGTGTGGGGTTGCGCGGCTAATAGTAAGGTGTGATATTATGCGTCGGCTCAGCATGCGAAACAAGCGGAAGAAGTCAGAGACGATAAGCAGCAGCGAGTCGGAGGAAAATGGCGGCAACGTCGACAACGGTAAAGACGAGACGCAGAAGACCGCCGACAGGAACAACCACAACAGCGCGTCCGAGACGTCCGTGAACACCGCCATGCGAAAGTCCACTCCGAAGAGACGCTCACGCGGCTCAATGCAGCAGAAGCAGTCAGCGGCGCACGCGGACGACGGTGATGAGGTAAAGGACGAGCTGGTCGTCACGGACGAGCAGGAGGAGCAGGAGAATGGCGAGAAGACCGCCGTGAAGCCGTCGCCGAGCAAGCGCAAGAGGAAGGAGGACCAGAAAGCATCCACCTCGGCCCGCGGCGAGGATTCCGGCGGGAACGACGAGTACGAGGTATGCGTCGCGCGAGATCCCACCTCCCGCTTTCCGCCTCCTCGTGACCGACGTCGCGCGCGCGTCCCTCACCGCGCCGCATCGCGCCACGCGTGTTACCTCGCGCGTAGCGCGACAGAGATCGCGCGCGCGGATTTTTGCGCCGCTATCTCGGCGAAATACGTCGCGCCGCTTCACTCGAGCGTCACGCAGGCGTGTTACTCACGCGATGCGTGAGCACTTGCAGGATTCCGTATCGCTCTTATTGCGTATTTTCGTCGGGCTTGTTGTTTACTTTGCGCGAAAGTCGTGCGCGGTGTCGGTCATTAGCGGGCTGCGTCGTCGCCATTTTCGACATGTACCGTTCTTCTCACATTGTCTCTCTCTCTCTCTCTTTCTCTCTCTCTCTGGCCCCCCCTCTTCCCTCCGTCTCCTCTCCTCGAATGCCGTCATTGCGCGGGAAGGAGCATGCGGCGCGCTCTGAGTTCACGACAACAATAGGAGCGATTAAAGATTCTTATTGTACCATTTGAGATTACTTTCGCGAAAATTAAGGGAATTGATGAATGTTGATCGAGGTACTAGTGAATAATCACTAACAACAATAAATCATTTTCATTTAATTAGATTTAAGATATCCCGTATGGCATTCGATAATAATTTGATGCACTAAATGTGCTGTCAAAACTTTAGATAGCTATAGAACGCTATTTATGTTGCTCGTTAAGTACCTTGCTAAATAGACAAGGTGTTTCTTTTAGGTGGACATGATCATCAGCCATCGTACTATCAAAGGACGCAGACAATTCTTGATACGATGGAAAGGTTACAACAGTTCCTCCGATTCTTGGGAAAATGAGAAGGATCTCCACTGTCCAAAGTTGATAGAAGAGTTCCTTGCGAACGAGAAGGACGAAAAGGAAAAGGCGAAAGCAAAACTGACCAAAACTGATAAATCAAAGAAAACTAAAACTAAAAAACAAACAGAAAATGGTAAGTTACCTCTAGTTGCTTTATCTACCATATTAATGTAGTTACGTGTGTATTTTCACATAAACATTTTCTTCCAGATGAACAGAATATTAAAGAGGTCAGCACAGATAAGGAAGGTTTGAAGGAGTTTGAAGTTGAAAGAATTATCGAGGTACACTTCAAGAAGAACGGGAAGAGAGATTTCTTAATCAGATGGAAAGGATTTAGTGCAATGGATGATACATGGGAACCAGAAGAGAATCTCAATTGTCCAGATCTGATCACCAAGTTTATGCAGAAGTTGGAGAAAATGAAGACGGCAGACTTTCGAGAACTCAGGACAAATCCAGCGCACACTAAACGGTACACCTTATCGACACGCGACTCCGGAAGGAGGTTGTCTCGACGTCACAAGGACAAGCAAAGGTACTTTTACCTCATTTTTGTACTCTTTTAATACTCGAACATTATTACATAGAACTGTTTGTTGAATTTTTTTTTTATAAAATTTATGACAAATTTAATATAAAATTATTAAACACTATAATCATATGTATATATATTTAGTAATTCTATATTGGAAATTTTTGTAATTATATTAGGTATGCGAGTGAATAATCTAAACTTTTTTTAAACGGCTAAAAACTTAAGTTTCAAATAATCAAATTTTCCCGCACTTTTACGGTTATGTAGTGTTGACATACAGCTATTAAAAATTATATTTAATATAGTGGAAGGCACAATATAACCTCAAAAATTATTCAGTTCAGTACAGTCAAAAATGGCAACAGATAAGGTGCATATTCGACAGTGTATTCTTGACGAATTTCAGTAAGGAAAAAATGTTGCAAGAACATGCGAATCGATTTGTACCTTTCTCGGCGAAGGTGTTGTATCGTACAATGTGTGTGCATTTTGGTTTAGACGGTTTAAAAGTGGCGATTTCAGTCTAAGTAACAAAAAACGGCCTAGAAGCCTTCGAAAGTGCGACAGCAATGATTTGAAGCAACTGCTCGCTAAGAATTCAACACAAACGCAAAAAGAGCTTGCAGAACAGTTAGGAGTAACGCAACAAACTATTTCCAATCGCCTACGCGAGATGGGGAAGATTCAAAAAGAAGGAAAATGGGTTTTGCATTAACTCATTGAAGCTAACAAAAATCAACGAGTGGCAGTGTATTTCTCTCTTCCCAATAAGCAGCATAGAAAGTCTTGTAGAAAATTGTTACAGGTGATGAGAAGTGGATACTCTATGACAATTCGAAACGCAGAAAGTCATGGGTAAATTAACATTGGTCGCAAAGCCAAAACACTTCGGAAAAATTTTATTCTATATTTGGTGCAATATGAAGGGCGTGATTTATTATGAGCTATTAAGAGCGAATGAAACAATTAGTGCGAACCGCTACCAACACCAATTAATTCGTTTGAGTCAAGAATTAAAATGAAAACGTCAATATAGTGGCAAAGGAGAACGTTCTGTGAAATTGTTGCATAATAACGCTTGGCCACACATTGTTTCTATGACAATCATAATGAATTTTGGCTGGGACGCGTTGCAGCGCCTCGCGCCTTCACCAGACATCGCTCCTACCGATTATCAGTATTCCGGTCGGTGCAACATGCCTTGTCTGATATGCACTTCAAATCAGTGAATGAGATCCGAAAATGGCTTGACGACTTTATCGTGTCCAAAGATACATTTTTTCGAGATGGAAATCATCAGCTGCTTGAAAGATGGCTTAAAATTATAGAAAACAACGGCGAATACTTTGACAAATTTGTTTTATTTTCTTTTAAAATAAACCTTGAATTTAGCTGAAAATTTTGGACATCTAGTATATATATATTTCTTCTTTCGACATAATTCGTAGTTTTTAATATGGATTTCCTCGCTTTTAACGTCAGCCAAAATAGACCAAGAGTCCCGCAGCAATGAAATAAGAATCTTAAAACTGCAACTGAGTTTAGTCTCACAAAACTTGTTACAAAATAGTAATTTTCAATATATCAAATATTAATGCAAAAATGTTGAGATAAATATACACTCAAGGGTTGATCAATAAAATTAATTAAACATGATTATGATGCAATGCACTATTTACGAAAATATCAAACCAATGTATTATTCTGTTGCAGGGCAACCTATCATGAATGTGACGAATGAAGAAATACATCGTCGCGGTCCCAATATCATTTTTTTCAAAGAATTTACTTTATATATATATAATCTGTAGTTTTACAAGAGAAAAGAAATGGAAGGCGTTTTAAGGATAAAACAAAAAAGAATATATCAAAACGAATAATTTGCAGTATATATATATATAATCTATATATATATCTATATATATATCTATATATATATCTATATATATACATATATATATATATATATGCATACATATATGACGTGTATATGCTCCGTTTGAGGAGTGACGCGTCCGTGAATGAGAGAAGGTGATTGGTTTATGTATTGGTCTGATGTATTCACTATATACGCACTTTGTTATCTGCTTTAGGTACATCTTTTGTTCGAAGGAAAGTCTTATTATTATGCACGAACTTAATATTATGTCTGTAGTAAGAAAGCGAAAGAGAGGGAGAGAGAGATGTAAAGTACAATTTTATTTTTGCTTCGGTACGATGTTACAGCAGTCGAGAGGAACGATTTCCAGAGCCGTACTTACCTTCTTTTGGATAAGTACAAAAGAAAGAATTTCTGGCGGATGATATGGGAAGATAATTATTATATTTGTATCAGATTTAACATACAGTGATAGGACCAATGTAGTTCTATAACAATTAACAAAATTAGTCAATTAGCAGAATTCAACCTTGTTTATTGTTTGTGATATATTCACTATTTGGTGCTGTATAGCAAATATGTCGTGTGGCCAAACGTAGTGTTGCATATTGGTACGGTCCTGGTAACGTTTTCATTCGCGCAATGTATGATTCGTTAAACAAGTTGCAAAGAGGACTAACAATTTGGTTTAAGAGAAATAATTGTAAATCTCATTTACTACTTCGTGTGAATGACTAGCTTATCTATCGCCTATCAGGGAAATTGACGAAATAAATACTTAAATTTGACCTGAAATCATTCATTGAATCTTCATCGACTTTCTTGCCACTCCTATTTTACTTTACAAAATCTAAATTTGAAACAAGCTTGGTTGTAATATTGAAATATGATCATAGAACAAAATGTCAATATCAGCAAAATGTATACGTTTCAAATAACGGTAAACAGGTTAACAAATGAAAGATATATATATTGAGGCTCGATAATTATTCCTATCCTAACTTTCCAATGAGTGATACATCAGATTAGTATAATATATAAATAATGAAACAGACATTTAAAAAGGGAGCTTACTCATCTTAAATAAGTTTGCTTTTCTTCACTTTATACCAACTTATATACTGGTAACAATTTCAACCTTGTCATAACAAGATCACACATGTATTACACAATCATTACCATTGTTTATTTTAGAAACCATCTGTTTTCCACTCCTGTTTCATGTATAATAATGTAAAACAACTTATATTTTCATAAAATGAAAAATTATTGTCATATATATATATCTCCTGTTCCTTACAAAAATTTATGTTACAACAATGTAACATATGATAACAAATGTGATAAAATTTCTAATACTTTGATATATTTTAACTTCAATGTTTTAACTTATTTTTAGATGTATTGCAAACTACAAAAGAACACCGGTAACCATGATCAATTTGTTAATTATTTCTATTCTAATATTCCAATGACTACATTAAGTTCTTATAACATAAATAATGAAACACTCCTTTAAAAAAGGCTTTTATTTGTCTTACACACGTTCACTCCTCTTTACTTCCTTAACTTGTAAACCTGTAATAATTTTAACTTAGTCATAACAAAATCATATACATATATATATATATATATATAACAATCACTATTATGTTATAATTATATATCGTGTAATCTTAAAATTAACTTGTTTATTTCATATTTTACCTGGAGGTAGAGACTGCTTTAGCTTCTCTGCCTTTTCTTTGTCAGTAATAACGAGGGTATACAAAAACCGGGAACAGCGAACTTTGAATTTTACATTGTCGGCGTTTTTCTTTATTTTCACGGCTACGGAAAAGTGAATTAATAAGATGTAGAAAACGAGAACGTCGTAAAATTAATTTTTCTATTGGAATAAATATCTCACATTTCGCATCCTTTCTTCTTGCTTTCAAGAGAAAGTCCTTGATTTCCTTGATTTCACGTGGCTGAAAATATAAAGAAAATCTAAATCGCATTCGCTATTAATAACACTAACGTAGTTGTTGAAATGTTTGAGGTTATATCGATATAACTATTGCTAATGATAAATTTATGATACATAAGTTACGGGCGACATTTATTTAATAAAAGTTCAAAGTAAAGTTAAACAAAACTCTCGAAATGTTTACATATTTACCATTTTTAATGGGCTGTCTGCTCGTTACTGTAGCTGAATCTGGAACAGCAAAATAAAGGATAAATTACGAGTGAAATATAAAACATCTCAAACATACATAATAATGTGTTTCTTCAACAACAATAAAGTAACGCTTCGACAAAACTATGAACGATGACGAAAAAACGAAATGGATACAAAATACGATGCGAACACAACTCACCGTACGTGACACAAAATGTCGAAAGAAAGATAACACGCAAGCAGCGTTACGAATAGTGATCAGGTAAAGTTAGGTTATGTCACGTCGAATTAGGTTGCGTTCTAATATTGTTCGTTCTCTAAAGGAGAATTTACACCTGAGCAGAAAAGCAGGAAGGCAACATCCAATCAGAACTCTCGTTGATAGTCTGTCTCTCTCTTGTAAGAAAGACAGAAAAGAAAGACAGACTACCAACATTCTAATCGATTGCTGCCTTTCTGCTTTTCTGCCTATATAGGTGCGAATCCTCCCTAATAAAGAAAATCGTATTATATAAAATAGTTGTATTGGCTACATATTATCTAAAAAAATAGGCTAGATAATATACACCTAATAGAACGGTTTCATATAATGCAGTATTCCTTTGCTGGAAAATGACTATACATTATAATATTAAAAATTTATACTTTATATATATTATAAATATATTATAGATTTGCAGTATTGGTAGTAATATGAATGCAGTTATAGATTAATATTTCATTGTCGTGCAACAAATTTCTTGGATGCTTCGATTGTCTGTTGGATAAAAAATTTGTAGCGTGCTTAAATAAAATAATAAAGATTTAAAAAATTCAACAGCCAATCGGTATATCTAAAAATACGTACGACATGTGAAATATGCGTTATTCATATCTCTTTCGATATTCAACAGAAGAATTCTTCTGATAGTATTTTCGACTGAGCAGATTTTGATTCATTCGAAAGTATTTAATAACGTCATAAACTTTATTGGTTTTATTATAGTGCTTTCAATGTTATTAATCCGCTCGGTTGAAAACGCTATTGTCTTATATATCTTAAAGATAACACAAAAAAGAATATATCAAAATGTGAATAATTTGCAAAACAAATATACACACATCCACGCACACACATACGCGCACGTACGCACACACACACGTGATGATGTGTATATAATGAAACAAAAACTTGTTTAAAAAAGAAATTTATTTACCTTAAACACATTCATTTCTCTTCACTTCCTTAACTTGTAAACCTGTAACAATTTCAACTTTGCCATAACAAAATCACACATGTATAACATAATCGTTACTATTGTTACAATCATATATTATACAATTTTAAAAATTTTAACTTATCTTGTTTTATATTTTACTTAGAAGTAAAGACTTTTTTTTAGGAAAGAGCTTAGCTCCTCTGTCTTTTCCTTGTCAGTAATAAGGATATACAAAATCTTGGAGCGGGGTTTGAATTTTACATTGTTGGCGTTTTTCTTTACTTTCACAGCTATGGAAAAGTGAATTAATAACACATAGATAACGAGAACGTCGTAAAATAAATTTTTTTATTTGAGTGAATGTCTCATATTTTGCATCTTTCCTTCTGACATTGAAGAGAAAGTCTTTGATTTCCTCGATTGCAAAGTAACTGAAAATATAAGAAAAATCTAAGGGCCGTATTCATAGTCGGATCTTATATTTAAGACCGTCTTGAGTTCACGTTCAGATATTCTGTAGCCAATGAAATGATCTATATAGCATCTGAAGATGAACTTAAGACGATCTTAAATATAAGACCGGACTATGAATACCAGCCTAAATCACATTCTTTTTCAATGACACAAACACTCGTATTCATAGTCAGGCCTTATATTTGAGACTTCCTTAAGTTTATCTTCAGATGATCTGTAGCCAGTAAAATAATCCGTGCAGCATCTAAAGATGGATATAACGAGGCCTCAAATATAAGGCCTGAATATGAATACGGGTATAAGGCTGCGTTCGGAAATGTTATTTGGGTACTCTTTCTCTTTCTTTATCTCATTTTTGTCTCTCACCAATCACTTCACAGCAGATGCACCCGAGTGATGTTTCCGAACACAGCCTAAGTAGTTGTGAAGTGATCGAGATTGTATTGATAACTGTTGCTAATGATGAACTCGTATTATCTACAAGTCACAAGTGACTTTTCTATATTTAATAAAAATATTTCCATACTTAATAAAAATTCAAAAGTGAAGTTAGACAGAACTCTTAAAATGCTTGCGTATTTATCATTTTTGACAGGATATCTATTCGTTATTGTAACTAAACTTGAGAATAAAGAAGAGGACAAATCACGAATGAAATATAAAACACCTCAAACATAAAGGGCATTTTCTAGCCGAGGAACATTGTGTTACACACTGGTGTTTTATTGGCTACATATTATCTACAATATCTTTTTAGATAACACATAGCCTATAAAATGTTGCGTAACACAGCGTTTCTTGTTCACAAAAATCTTCAATATTGCATTTAGGCACTAGTATGTTAGGGTACGAATACAAAGGAAATTGGGTTTTCTGCTTTCCGATAACCAGTGCCGATAGGCGCGGACTATTGGCACTTGAGGAGGACATTAGACGCATGTTAAAGCAGGAAACCTGTCAGTTTCTGAGTTGATGTCTTGCAGTAAAGATGTCTTCATCCGATGAAGATGTTTTTTTATTGGATAATATTATATCAAAAATACAAAGAAAAAGATTTTACACGAAATAAATAAAAGCAGAAGAAATAATAGTGGATATCATAATTTATTTGATGATCTCAAGAGAGAGGAACAAAAATTTTTCCAGTACACAAGGATAACTCTGGAAAATTTTAATTACTATGATTTTTCTTTTATCCCAAATGGGAGGTCTTAGAAATATTGCTGAAATTAAATTATCGATGTCCATTTGTAGCGTTTCAGGAGTCAACCGGCGCTTACAATCGGAAAGAAAGAACTAAAAATTCATTCCGGCAAATTCGCCCGCGCCGATGACACGCGCGGACAAATCCGAACCTGCTTTTATTATGCGCGGTCTCATATAATGACACGTATATATTCTTAATGCCGATCGGCGCCTATCGGCGCTGACTATCGGAAAGCAGAAAAACTGCTTCCTTTGTGTTCGTACCCTTTAGCAGCTACATGCGTGACGTATTGACGCATGCGCAAGAGGTGCCGTGGAAATAAATGCCCCCACCACTGACCTAGACCAAGCTATTTTACTTTTACTGTAACAAGAGTGAAGCCAGAATTGGCGATTTAAATCGGAGTGAAAATATTATTTTCGAGCAAAATGTTGAATAGCTGCCGCAATAATCTCTGACTAACTTCCGCCGCGAGGCAAGCATGACGCAGCCTTACCAACTTTATAACTTAAGCCAGCGGCACACGGTGCTTGTTTTTATGCTAGATTGCTTGCTGGATGAAAATACTGCGTTTTGATTGGTGCATTTCCATCCATCTTCGGAAATGCACCAATCGCAGAACGCAATATTTTCATCCAGCAAGCAATCCAGCACGAAAACAAGTACCGTGTGCCGCTGGCTTTAAACCAAAGATTCCGAAATTGATTTCGGAACAAACCTCGCATTCCTTGACCTAGCCTTTAAAGATTATAACAATTTGTCGCAGTAATTGAAAATCCGACATTGCGAACATATGGTACATGTCAGATCATCACATTCTATATTTTATATTTTAAATTTTATAAAACCACCACAACCATGACTGTTAAATTGAATTTGAAAAATATAAAGGACAAATTGAAAGATAATAATTTGGATCTTAGTTTATGTGATTTAAAAGAAGTACCTGTCCGAGAAATAGTGAGTAACAATCTCTAATCTTCATTTCCATTAATTAAATTTTTATATGAAATAGAACAAAACAAACTATAATAGAATAAAACAGACAATAATAAAATTAATATGTAATAAATATTAGAAGTATAAAAAGATCATTATGAAATATACATTCTTTCTATAAATATTTTCTTTACATATTTAATCATCTTCCAGGCATCCGTTAAAAAAGCCAGAAATGTAAATTTGTCGACTAATCTTCTGGTTTCATTGCCGGTATATCATATATTATATATTCTCTTTTTTTGTAATTTAAGTGATTTTACCATTTTTAACACAAAAATTGTTTTAGGCTACTTTTATCACTTTAAAACAAATTGTGAAATTAGATCTCAGTAGAAACATGTTAACTGAACTACCTGAAAATTTTGGTGAAATGACACAGTTGAAATATCTGGATTTATACTCTAATCAGGTAAATAGTTTTCTTAAGATATGTGTATATATTCATTTTCATTGTAGAAAGAAAATGTGTATATATATATATATATATAATATAAGTAATAATATATAATAATTTATAGATCAGCAGACTACCACTGAGTCTAAGTGAACTAAAGAATTTAAGATGGTTGGATTTGAAAGAAAATCCTTTAACTGAGGCTGTAGCAACAGTAGCAGGACCATGTAGCAATTTGAACGAGTGTCAAGCATGTGCTCTCAATATTGTCAACTATTTGTCTACCGTTAAGCTTTTAATAGAAGAAGAGAAATTACGCAGATTAAATAATACCACAGGTGTTATATATTATTATATACTATTTGCATACTTTTATGATAGTTTTTTATTATACAAATTGCATTAATATCAATGTAACATTGAATATTAAAGGTGAAACAGAAAAAGAAGTGATAACTACAGCAACAAAGAAGGATACTAAGAAAAAAAAGAAAAGGGATTCGGAAAAGGAATATAAGACAAATTCGAATAAAACTGAGCCTTTAATACAGAATAAAAATTTGCAGGACAATAATGATAATGTAAGATTAACAGATAAATTATCTGATAATACATGCAGGCACGAGTCTCATAAATCTATAGGTAATAAATGTTTGTATTCACAAATGTAATATTCACAAATTTGATTTTTTCATTTATTCAATATTATTTATTTCTTAGGTGCTGATAACTCGAGTACTAAGTTATACCGGTCTCTTACGTGGATAACTGTATGGTTTTTCATAATTAGCTCATTGCTTACTATAGCACTGGTAGTTTTTTCATGGCATTATGAGCAACAGACAGATACATTTCTACAAAATGCACAAATGTTGTCAGGCCTACCATTGAAAAATTATCATAAACATACGATAGATTGGTTGCAACGTATAATAGAATTTACAACATTACAAATAAAATCGGTTACCAACATGATCAATGATTTTTATAAAATGTATTTTAAGAGTACGAATGATGTAAGAAATGATTTATAGAATTGTTTTTTTAATTGTATATGGGATGATTCAAGATCTAATATATAAATTACGTCGCGTGGCAGCACAGCAATGAGCTATTAACTACATGGTATATGATAAAATCTGCTTATCCAGCTTTTCCAATCATTCTTCAAGATTTATGTATTAGACTCTGAATCATCCTGTATTTGAACAGTGTAATAAAGCAAAGGTATAACAATTCTCAAGATTAAGAAAAAATTTGTACTTTTTACATCAATAATTTGCAATAAAGATAAAGATTAAATTTTTTATGTACAAAGTTTATTGGTTAGAATGACTTATAGCATTTATGTGTATTTAATGGTTAATTATATTGAGATGATGTAATACAATATATGTCTTATTTTCAACAGAATACATGAACAAATATGTATTGTTAATCATATATTCCTTCCTAGTATTACTGTCTAATATTAATTCCATATAAAATATATAAAATTTTATTGTAATAATATTCAACAATATATGTAATATTTTCAAATAGTAGTTTTTAACCACCAGCATAATATTTCGACAAAGAATATATATACTATTAATTAATCATCAAGGTTAAGCAATATATAACACGGCCAGTCTAGATATATAGGGTCTGGCAAAAGTTCCGGAACGGCTAATTATTTCAAAAAATAATGACTGCTTAAAACAATGTTTGAAATAAAAGTTGTAGAGTTTAAAAAAAAGCTATCAGATATTGATAATTGTTTGATCTTAGAATGACCTTGAGAAACGTTATCAAGGTCGACATAAAAATCTTAAATGGAAACTCCAATTTTCTATTACACTGTTTTTTTCTACTAATTAATTTGAACAACTTTTGTCTGAAACATTTTTCTATTTGCCTAATATTTTTTGAGATATTTAAGGATAACTTGGTAACTTTTTCAATATTTAACTTCCAATATCTCGCTAACTGTTTGTCGGGATAAAAATATGATACTAGGTTTTTCTATTTTACTTGGATTCAAGAATCTATTGTTATAATAGCGCCTTGACTTCTATTAATTTGATGATTTTGAAATTTCGAAAGATCGATAAATTAACAAAAAGTAGAGCATTATTGTACCAACATGTTCTTGAGATCAAATAGAATAGAAAAGTCTAGTACCATTTTTTTATTCCAACAAACAGTCAGCGAGATATCGTAAGTTAAATATTGAAGAAGTTACCAAGTTATCTTTAAATATCTCAAAAAATATTAGGCAAATAAAAAATGTTTCAGACGAAAGTTGTTCAAATTAATTGGTAGAAAAAGACAGTGTAATAAAAAATTGGAGTTTCCATTTAAGATTTTTATGTTGACCATGATAACTTTCCTCAAGGTCATTCCAAGATCAAAGAATTATCAATATCTGATAGTTTTTTTAAGCCCTATAACTTTTATTTCAAATATTGTTTTAAACAATCATTACTTTTGAAATAATTAGCCGTTCCGGAACTTTTGGCAGACCCTGCATAATGTGACCATTCGCGCCGCTTGAAATCAAAGTTGCCGAAAAAAGGACGCGCGCAACGTTTCGGAGTATGGTGGCAGTTCGATCCTAGCAATCGCAAGATGTGAGAAAATTAAAGATAACTTTTTATAAGAAATATATTTTTAATAAGAAACTATATATATAGTTTATTATTGCTTATTATACGAAATACATAAATACATGAAAAATAATATATATATACGAATATATATGTAAATTGGCATTCCTTGAGTGATTAAGAGGCCTGAAGCATCATCCTAAAACAAAACGGTTACAAATCACAAAATTAAATGGATGAAATTGTGAATCAAGGCTATAATAAAATTCTAATAGGAAATTTATCCTAGAAAAAACTCCTCGATGAGAATACAAATGCCGTTACATATCGTATCGCAACATGTACGCAATTTTCTGAGCAGATTCTCAGGATTCGTCAAGACTCAAAACTAAAGACGGTACAGGCAAGCAAATAAAACACATAGATTTATTCAAAATTCTAAATAGCACAGTAAAATAAGTATAAAGTCACTTTCATTGCTTTAAAACAGGCTACAGTGGATGGAAACACTACAGATTGCAATTATGACAAATATCTCTCATGCAATGAAAAAATACGATAATTCTATACGATTTCTTAATGAAAAAATTTATTTCACGGCGACTTTCGTGATAATTAGATTATTTTATAGTTCTAGAGAGCTTTCGCACACATGCGTGAAACTCGAAAAGATAAAGCGTGTCTCAAGTTAAGAGTTGCTTCGTCTGGAGGTGCGTGTTTTGTTTTTACATTTATACTCTGATATGACCGAAGATTCGCTATACTTTCACTGTGCACTATGCAGTATATGCAAGATTAGCCAAGACTTTGAACTGAACTGAAGATATGAGAAATAAACGGACAAAATATGCAGATTTATCAAGAATTTTCTAATGCAATGAAAAAACCTCTTTCGTTATCCCAAAACGAGCCACAGTGGTGGGTGAAAATACTATAGGTTGCGAATGTGACAATTACCTGTTGTTTAACGGCTGCTCCTTGCTCCATCCTCGGAAACTCTTTGCTGGCTTTTTAAAAGCTGGTCTCCAACTTTCATCAGTTTGTACAGTTTCTCAGTGAATGTTAAGGATAGCTCCAACTCCTCCATATCAGGTATGTCGTTATTATATATAGTCGGAGATGCAAAGCATTTTTTATAATAGTAACTTCTATTCCTCTCGACGACCTCTGATAGTGCGATCTCCGAATTAATTTCTTTATTGATATGTTGCAGTCGGTCATTAATATTGCAAGGCTATAAAAAAAATGAGTACAACACAAATTAATGAACACAAAATTAGATAATTGAAATCGTCAGTCAAGGTTATGAATATTCTAATAGTAAATTCGTCATAGATTACTGAAATAACTCATTGCATTCGGAAGATTTCCATAATTTATTCAAATCTACTATAAAAATTGCCATTTTAATATACGTAATTTTCGTAACACACAATTCGGCAAAAATTTTACAAATTGTCTTATCTCTACATGTCTTCTAATTATTTTACTCAATAGCATAGATTTCTTCGGCGTCATAAAACATGTTTGAAATGAATGAAAGGAAGATATAAAAAATCAATTCTGTTGCATTTCTTAAATATTTTCTCGTGCAATAACTGATGAAAACATATTACGTGTTTTTACTCACCGGTCTGCTGGAAATTTCGTCAGTCCAGTTTACCATAGAGCTGTCAGTATTCATTAAATGGTGTTTTTGGACAGTAACGGCTGGCTGTACAGCTAGTGCATCATTCTCGGAAGCCCTTTGCTGATATTTTAAAAGTTCGTCTCCAGCGTTGATTAGTTTATGAAGTTCCTCAGTGAAAGATAAAGATAGCTCCAACTCCTCCATATCAGGCATGTCGCTATTATATATAGTCGGAGATGCAAAGCATCTATTGTAATAGTAGCTTCTATTCTTCTCGACGATCTCTGCGATCTCCAAATCAAATTCCTTCAGATGTTGGACTGGGTCATTACAATTGTAACACTAAAAGGAAATGCACAAAATTAGATAGTTGAAATGATTATGAATATTTTAATAGTAAATTCGTCATAGATTACTGAAATAACTCTTTTCCTTCGGAACGTTTCCATAATTTATATCAAAATCTGCTATAAAAGTTACCATCTTAATATACATAACTTCCGTAACATACAAATCGGCAAAAATTTTTCAAATTGTCCTATCTCATCGTTTTACTCAATGCAGATTTCTTCGATCTTATGAAACATGTTTGAAATGAATGAGAGAAAATGTTGTAAGAAAACAATTTTGTCGCATTTTCAAGTGATTTCCCGTGTAATAATAACTGATCGCTCGAGTCTTTAATTTGCCATTGAATTTCAAAAAATGTTTAACGTTACTGACACACTCCTAAGTGTACCATATACAGTAGATATAGATTAAAATTATATCTTAAATTATTTTGTCTCAAGATGCAACACATAATTGGCTTTTACTTTTTTGTATTCTGATATGACCGAAGACCGCTGTGTTTCGATATACAGAGTGAGAAAAAAATATGTAAACCCTTAAAATATCAAAAGATATGTTCTACAAAAAGGTGTTTCAGACAAAAGTTATAAGCCTCAAAACAATGTATTTACTGATCTTCAGTTTGACTTCAACACGTTAAGCGTGAAGCCGATTTTGCTGAGCTTTCTGTTTAGGTGGCGGGCCGGCGCGGGCGGTGACCACTGGGCGAGTGTTGGGTTACATAGTATAAACAGAAGATACACACATATTGCGGTGACGATTTTACTTCATTTTCCGCTTGAGCTATGGTAATGGCGCAGCCAATACAGAAGTATACGAAGTATAAACAAAAGATGATCAGATGGAGAACGGTAAGAAAGCGACCTCCAAAAGACAATCAGTTAAAAAAAGCCCACGGAAGTGTAAAGGTTCTTAGAACAGAGAGAATTTTAGTTCGTTGTGTTTTATAAAGCAATTTTCACAGTTATTATTTTCAAAAAAATTTATTGCCCATAATACCGAAAATGTTGAGAGGAGAAGGAGATAGCGATTCATCGAATCAGTTATTTTTAACCTTGATACTGCCAGTTCCAGGAACCGATGCCGCCCAAATGAAAAGTTCACTGTCGGTCCCCAGGGACCGACGCCGCCCAAACGAAAAGTTCACTGTCAGTCCCCACCCAAGTAACACAGTCTGGCAATATTCGCTGTAACAGCAAAAATGTGGCTGGAATAACGTCCCACCAACCTTAATTACAGCTATTTGGCAATAAAAGCTATTTCGCTGGATTTTTAACTGTAAAAACGTTGCGACGGCTAATGAGAAAGTCCAAATGCAGCCCTAGCTATTTTAGCTATATCAATAGCTGTAAAGTAGTTGTGACAGTTAATAAAAAAGTCAAAATACAGCCGTAACTATTTTAACCGTATCAATAGCTGTAAAGTAGTTGTGACAGCTAATAAAAAAGTCAAAATACAGCCGCAACTATTGTAGCTGTATTAATAGCTGTAAAGTTGTACCAGCTTCTAGAAAAACCAAAATTTTCTTTGAGCATTTTGCTACTTATTTTGCTCGTCTTCAGTATCGTCAAACTGACTCAAATATTTTTCAGCTTTAATAGCAGCTTAAAATGTTGTAAAATTCCTCCTCTTCATAGTACACTTTTGTTTAGACTAATTATTAAAGTCTGGCAAAATTTTGTCATTTTTGCGAAGGTTCAATCCCTTTCTTCCTGGTGGCCAAAATAAAACGCCGTATTT